CCTACCATGATGACCCACGATGTTTTGACCGCAATTCTGACATATAACTGACCTACCAAGACAACCCACATCACCTTGATGGACATTCTGACGTCTCACTCACTTACAAGGATGACCAGATCGGGTTGACAGCAATTCTGACTTTTCACTAACCTACCATAACCCATGTCATCTTAACAGCAATTCTGATGTATCCATGACCTCCCAGGACTCTCATGTGGTCTTGATGGCAATTCTGAAGTAACCATGACCCCCATGAAGACCACATCATCTTGACGCCAATTCTGGCATATCAGTGACCTACCATGACAACCCACGTCGTCTTCACGGCAATTCTGACATATCTCAAGGAGCTGCTGTTCACATTGGGCTGCATTTCAAGGTAAAATAAAAGACCTTCATTGATGATGTTCGACAGCCAGCTGTTGGGAAGGACACAGTACAGGTGAACTGGACGTCCAGTGTCATGGGCCTTTACATAATAGGTGGGGGAGAGGGGTGTTCTACCTTGGAGGACAAGCCCGGACTTCCGGTGGCCTAATGCGTGGTTCTGTTATCTGAACCTGCCTGGAACCAGCATGTTCAGAATTTCATTGGGGAAGTGTAACTCCCTCTCTAGGTGAAAAGCCGAGATCACACCTGCTCCCAAGAGCTGCAGTTGATGCCACTGCAGGGTGTAAGTTCCCGCCCTGGGCCAGCTTACCCACCACCCATTGGTCCTTGCAGTAATCACAGCTTGGAGGGTGGTCCAGCCCCAGCCATCTTTGACACTGCGTGCAGAGGTGGGTGTTTCCATGTGGTGGTGGGTGGATGAAGAGCAGAGAGCCTGCTCAGACTGACATGGCTTACACGTCCCCTCTCGCCGTCCCACCAAGAGTGTTCGCTTCCTGGTAGCAGGTGAATTATTTACAGGGTCGGCTCAGCGCAATCAAAAGCGCTTTCTGATATCCATCTTTCCTGCTTGGGTTGCAGGTCTGTTTTCAAAGCATGCACCAAACACTCATGGGCGGGACACCTGGGTGGGACATGGAGAAAGCCAGAGCAAGAAGAGGGGCAGTTCTACCCCATCCGATGGGGTCACTATGAGTCAGAATTGAGTTGGTGGCAATGAGTTTGGTTGGGGAGTTGGGGGTGGGTACATTTCCTCACAGGCCACAAAGCACAGCTTCAAAGATTTTCTTCCCAAAACATCTCTGGCCCTAATGGGCCACACTTAAATCAGTCAGCAAGACACTAAGTTGTTTGCATAGCCTATCCCACTAGCAATGAAAACCAACCAAAAACAGAAATGGAAGGTGCTTACCAGATGAACAAAACCAGCATTATTTT